TTTCTGGGACCTCTCCACGGTGATCCTCATCCACATGGTGGCACTTTGTGTCATCGGGTGTTTATCGCTTGTGTGATGTCCTGGTGGGGTAGAAATTCATTCATTCATTCAGTAGACGCCCACAAACAGTGGGGCCCTGCGAACACAGTCTGGGAGTCACTGCTCAATATAAATCAAGCGATTTTCTGTGTTGGATTAGCCCGCGTTATGACGCTGCAATCAACTAACCGTGCAGCTTTTGATGTGACGATAGGAGCCGGCAGAGAGAAAACTAATTGCTCAAACAAAGGGAGACAGACTGTGTGCTGACAATCACAGGAACCACATCTGACCAATCAATGCTGGCCTGAGAGGGCGGGCTGACCCTGGCGTGGAGAATATGGTGATGTCATCAACTAATACACAACAGAAGATGCTCGCGGGACGATAAAACTTGGCTGACTGTTGTTTGAGTTAGAGGTGCAGGCAACATTTCTGTGTTTGATTGTGGCATCTTGTGTCATTAGTTGTCTATGTCTCTGAGACTTATTTGTGGACTGTTGTTTCATTAGTTGTTCTTGTCTTTAAGACTTATCAGTATCATTAGTTGTCCGTGTCTCCAAGACTTATTTGTGGACTGTTGTGTCATTAGTTGTTTTTGTCTTTATGACTTATCAGTATCATTAGTTGTCCGTGTCTCCAAAACTTATTTGTGGACTGTTGTGTCATTAGTTGTTCTTGTCTTTAAGACTTATCAGTATCATTAGTTGTCCGTGTCTCAAAGACTTATATGTGGATATTCCACACTCGCGCTTGTACCATTGGCACCTTTCCGTCTTTCCAGACGATAGTGTTATATTACGCTATGAGGAGGCATGAGACTCACAGTCCATGGCGATGACGAGTGTGACTAGCAAGACCCGCCCATGTCAAGAAAAGTCTTCCACAATGATAGCATGGGATTTCAGGACCATTGTTAACAACATTTGTGTTTAATCCGTTTCTTTTCTGACGCTCAGCCCTCATCCTTTCTGCAAACATTTCTTCCTTCAGTCTCATTCCCTTCCTGATATGCCCTTTCCACACAACATTGTCCATGGCATTTTGTTCCCATGAGTCCGCCTCAATACTTGTCTCATTCATGTCCCTCTTGCACACATCTTTATAACGTTATGAAGCCAGCCTTGACATCTTCTTCCTGTCTTTAATTCACCATACAGGATGTCCTCAGGGACTCTGCTATCCTCCATTCTCCAGGTGTGACCAAGCCATACCGCTCATACCACGTATAGTATATTTAACTATGCCAGAGCTTTTAACACTTCTAAAAGATTTAGATACTGGGTCTAACACACAACTCCCCTAGAGAGTGACAAAACCCTGTCACAGGCCGTCTCTTTCCTGGAAATAAAAACGTAAATTCCAGACAACAACAGACTGCGACAACCATAACCTCGACCACAGAAGACTAGTCCAACCAACTTATCAATGGAGTTGACCTACAACCAGTGATGTGCTAGTGGGGAGACAAGCGTAAAATTCACCATGATATTCTCTTACTGGTTATTTATACGATGGCCTCCCCATTTACACACCACTGGTTGTAGGTCAACTCAACTGATAAGTTGGCTGGATTAGTTGGTTACACAGGGGCACTTGACTGTTACATACGTGCACCCGACTGTTACACGGGGGCACCCGACTGTTACACGGGGGCACCCGACTGTTACACTGTGGCACCTGACTGTTACACTGGGGCAACCGACTGTTACACTGGGGCACCCGACTGTAACACGGGGGCACCCGACTGTTACACTGGGGCACCCGACTGTTACACTGGGGCACCCAATGTTTACAAGGTCACCTGCTATTAGCCTGCCAAGTGACCTGCTCGTGTGTGTGTCAGGGCAGTGGGTAAGTAGATCCACCGCATCTTAGCAAATATGTGGTTATGTGGACAAAGAGCGCTATACAGCGCATAGCAATGATAACATCACTTCTGTCCAGTTTGTACAGACCAGCCATAGCAATGATAACATCCCTTCTGTCCAGTTAGTACAGACCAGCCATAGAAATGATAACATCGCTTCTGTCCAGTTAGTACAGACCAGCCATAGCAATGATAACATCGCTTCTGTCCAGTTAGTACAGACCAGCCATAGCAATGATAACATCGCTTCTGTCCAGTTAGTACAGACCAGCCATAGAAATAACTTCGCTTCTGTCCTGTTAGTACAGACCAGCCATAGCAATGATAACATCCCTTCTGTCCAGTTAGTTCAGACCAGCCATAGCAATGATAAAATCGCTTCTGTACAGTTAGTACAGACCAGCCATAGCAATGATAACATTGCTTATTTCCAGTTAGTACAGACCAGCCATAGCAATGATAACATCACTTCTGTTCGGTGCCAGACCAGCCATAGCAATGATAACATCACTTCTGTCCAGTTAGTACAGACCAGCCATAGAAATAAAATCACTTCTGTCCAGTTAGTACAGACCAGCCATAGCAATGATAACATCGCTTCTGTCCAGTTAGTACAGACCAGCCATAGAAATAAAATCACTTCTGTCCAGTTAGTACAGACCAGCCATAGAAATGATAACATTGCTTCTGTCCAGTTAGTACAGACCAGCCATAGAAATGATAACATCCCTTCTGTCCAGTTAATACAGACCAGCCACAGAAATGATAATATCGCTTCTGTCCAGTTAGTACAGACCAGCCATAGAAATGATAACATCGCTTCTGTCCAGTTAGTACAGATCAGCTATAGAAATGATAACATCGCTTCTGTTCAGTTAGTACAGACCAGCCATAGCAATGATAACATCGCTTCTGTTCAGTGCCAGACAAGCCATAGCAATGATAACATCGATTCTGTTTGGTGCCGGATCAGCCATAGCAATGATAACATCACTTCTGTCCAGTTAGTACAGACCAGCCATAGCAACCGCACAGCCTGCAAGATCATCTGCACTCTCGTGGCCTCATAACCAGACACAATAATGAAGGAGGGGATCCCCTCTGCGAGATGCCCAGTGTTACAGTCTGTTGTTGCCCAATGATCCCATCTAGTGTTACAGTCTGTTGTTGCCTGAAGATCCCACACTTATAACGCAAGGTCAGGCCAAACCTATAAAATCTGGTAATCTTAGTTTCAGCTTCATAGCAAACAGGTCACTCCATAGTTGCTCCGCTCCCGTGCCAACGGAAAACACACAGAATGTTTTTCACAGTCCCTTGTGGAAAGATTGACAGACTGCTGTCTCAGCATATGCACTAGCATATACACACATTAAAAGCATACAGTAGACATCCAAAGTGCTAAAACAAACAGTCCGACATTAGAAATGCAGTTCATCATGGATGGTAGCAGAAGTCACTAACAGATCAGCAGTTAGACACGCGATCAATTTTAATCACACAATAGCATCACCAATATTGCGACAACAGGCATCACACCATTTTCTGAATCTACAAGTACACCATCACATTGGTCACAGTCGAAAACATTCCAAATGAAATCAGCAGCTCACAGTGTCACGCCATGCACTCAACTCAGAAGATGGGCGAAAAAACGATATTTTTTTCAGTCTACAAATGAAGCAAAAATGCAACGGTCACCGTCTGGCAGAAGGAATTAAAAAAAAAAAAAAAAATCAAGGTTCTCCTCTAGATCTTTTGTGTTTTTTGCCTCTTCAGTTAGTTAGCATCCTTTGGATGTTTTTTCCAGGTCATGCCGGTGTGTTGGGAAATTAGCAGGCATATAGACTGGCTGGCTCTGCACCACTTGGTGGTGAATTGATGTATGATAAGGTAGATATTGTGAGGGCCCTTTGGGAGAGAGTGAACAGTGCTGACGCGCAGACAGATCATTACGGTCTAAGGAGAATGGCACCTCGAGGAGTTATCAGGGGATCTGGCCGACGCTCGACACTCATGGCAAGAATGAACCAGATATACAATCAGACGATTACTGGTACCATCGGAATTGTAATTCTTCGCTTGCTGCTGAAAATGGGGACTGAGCACTTATGGGAGTGTCCATAGTGCTGTGATGTTGATTCTTAATTCAAAAAACGATATTTTTTCAGTCTACAAATGAAGCAAAAATGCAACGGTCACCGTCTGGCAGAAGGAATTAAAAAAAAAAAATCAAGGTTCTCCTCTAGATCTTTTGTGTTTTTTGCCTCTTCAGTTAGTTAGCATCCTTTGGATGTTTTTTCCAGGTCATGCCGGTGTGTTGGGAAATTAGCAGGCATATAGACTGGCTGGCTCTGCACCACTTGGTGGTGAATTGATGTATGATAAGGTAGATATTGTGAGAGCCCTTTGGGAGAGAGTGAACAGTGCTGACGCGCAGACAGATCATTACGGTCTAAGGAGAATGGCACCTCGAGGAGTTATCAGGGGATCTGGCCGACGCTCGACACTCATGGCAAGAATGAACCAGATATACAATCAGACGATTACTGGTACCATCGGAATTGTAATTCTTCGCTTGCTGCTGAAAATGGGGACTGAGCACTTATGGGAGTGTCCATAGTGCTGTGATGTTGATTCTTAATTCAACATTCAACATTCTGCCATTTGATGCCACACACAGCCTGTCTTCTGTAAATTTCCTTCTCTCTATACCTGTTATTCCGGGCAGAGGGGAGGGGGGATCTCATTATTAACTCCATTACAAAAATTTAAACTCTTCTTCAGTGAGAACAATCTCTGGGAAGGTTTGGACTGAGCCACAGCTCTATGTGGCCAGCAAACATCTCCATTGAGAACAATCTCTGGTGAGGTTTGGACTGAGCCACAGCTCTATGTGCACAGCAATCATCTCCTTCATTGAGAACAATCTCTGGTGAGGTGTGGACTGAGCTACAGCTCTATGTGGCCAGCAAATATCTCCTCCACTAAAAGTTAAACCACAACACTGCATCAGTAAGCTGGAACTCTACCTACTGAGCAAAAAAACTCTACCATGATACTGACATGATGGCATAAGTGACCCAGTTACCTGTCCTCTACAAGGTCCAGTCCCTCCAGTTCGTGTGTCACATCTTCAATATCTCTCTTCAGCTCCTGAAATCATGACGATAAAAAAAAAAAAACTACAAGTCAGAAGACAAAATTCACATTCAGTATAAATGTCATTTCATCTGATTATAGTTTGTTAGCATGTGCAGTGGAACCTCGCTTAAAGAGCATAATTCGTTCCAGAATCATACTCGTTAAGCGAAACACTCGTTATGCGAAACAATTTTTCTCATATAAATTAATGTAAAATACGTTAATGTGTTCCATGTCGAAAAAAATACTCACAAAATGCTTAGTATAACGTTTATTCAAAGAAAATTATATACATATTGTTAAGGAGAGTGAATCATCTTCATCTTTTCTTCAAACGTGGAGCAAACCCACATGGAATGCGAATTTGATTTGCAGAAAAAAAAAAAAGTCAAAAAAATTATGATACATAGCTAATTATTATTTTTTTTTTTTTTAACTAGAAAGATTTTCAGAGACATTTGTTTTTGCCGAAGCTTCAAAATTTGGCAAAAATGCGACACAGCATTAACATTTAAAAAATGTGCAACGTGAATAGCCACTTCCTTATTAGGATGATGCTTCTCAATGTAAGGTGCTACAGTTTGCCATGCTTTCAGCATTTCTCTTATTTCGCCAAAATATTGTTGCTTTTCTGTGACCTCCTCCTCCTCTGATAAACCTTCCTCGAAAACTTCTTGATGTAAACACAATGCAACTCAATAAGCTCTTGGGTAGTCAGCTCTTGGCTGTGCTCTTCCACAAGCTCTTCGATATCACTGTTATCCACCTACAATCCCATGACAGTGGCCAAAGACACAATCTCGTTGACTACAGGTTCCACAGGTACTGTCTCGAACCCCTCAAAGTCACAAATCGACGCTCTCCGGCCAAAGCTTCTTCCAAGCAGAAGCTAGGGCTCTCTTGGTAACCCCTTTCCCCGCCTTGTCGATCATCTTGAGGCAAGCAACGATGTGGAAGTGATTTTTCCAAAACTCTTTGAGAGTGAGGTTGGTCTCTTCAGTCACCTAAAAACAATGCTCAAAGAGTGCTTTAGTGTAGAGCTTCTTAAAGTTAGAAATAACTTGCTGGTCCATGGGCTGGAGTAACGGAGTGGTGTTGGAAGACAGAAACTGGATCTTGATGAACCTAAATTCTTTAGAGAGGTCATTTTGTAGGTCTGAAGGATTCATGCACATATATCACAATATAACACAAGTTTTAGAAAATGTGTGATCACAAGCGACACTACGATGCTACTGAAACGAGTGCTAAACACAGACTGATGTAACATGCGCATAATTTGGGACTTCCCCTCTCCTCGCCACTCGTTATGCGAAATGTCGCTCGTTAAGCAAGAATTTTTTTTTTACAATTTGTTTTGCTCGTTATGCGAATTACTCGTTACGAGAGGTGCTCGTTAAGCGAGGTTCTACTGTATAACTTATGCATTCATCACTAAATAGGCATTTGGCACATTGTCTTGTTGTTTACACCTACACTTCTCAGCACAGCAACACATCCGACTTCAGCACAACACATCCGACTTCAGCACAACACATCCGACTTCAGCATAGCCTTTATTTAAAACAAAAAAAATGCTGCTTTACAGGACTTTTTGCACAACCAACACCATCTTTTTTTGTGTGGCAGTTCTGGTTTTTCTTAGTAAATTCATATTCAGCAGTTTGCCCCTGCTACCTGAACGGCTGGCTTTCAATACCACTGTCAAGAAGAGATATAGAACCGAACGAAAAGTATATTAGCAAGTTTCACAATATAACAAATACAAACAAAATGTGAACGTTGCAGCTATAGAGTCTTCATCAGCACATACACATATCAAACCATACAACACAATACACAAAAACACTTAGCTGGTATCTCGAAGCAGCCAGGTCGATGACTTATCAGACTGCCGACACACATGGACCAGGGGCCATAACTAGGGGTTTAAGATAAAACTGTGTGGGCAGTTTAATCCCCTTGGAGTTTAAATGAAACTGTGTTGGCAATTCAGTCCGGAGGGTGTTAAAGTACCCAAAGTGTAAATAAAACAATTTTCAAGAGAACTGCGGACTCTGTCGCTGGAATGACTAGATGTCGAGGACACCTTGGTGATCCTGGGAATCGAAGTGCAACGGTACTGGTTTCAGGGCACTATTCTGCACATCCAAAAGATGTTGTCTGAACCTGTCATCCAGTCGTAGACCGGTTTCATGTGTATTTCATGCCACATCTCTTGCAGTTGGTGGCATAAATGACATTGCGGCTGGTACAGTAAAATGCTTCACGTATGTGGAAGGTGGGGTTAGGGAATTCTAGACTATCCACCTGTACCACATATGGACAGGTCCTGCATACAGGTCTGTGGCAAGAGACCGTGCCGAAGTGGTGCTCAGACGCGAGGTGTAACCTACTCTTGACTACAATGTCCTTGAGGTTACAGTCATGCCTGTAGGCCACCAGAGGAGGTTCAGAGAAAATCGTGCTGGTGGCAGGGTTGGCTTTGAGGATGGAGAGATGCGCAGGGAAAATATTTTTGGCGTGGTCAAAACCAATGCAAGGCTGCGATTACTAGACCTAAGCCCATAGAACAACCAAATGTAATGACTGCCACTGAGACCCAGGTAAAGAATGGTGTGACACCGGGCATGGAACAACTAAATGTAATGTCTGTCACTGAGACCCAGGTAGAGAACAGTCTGATACCAGCCATGAAACAACTAAATATAATGTCTGTCATAGTAAAGAACGGTGTGACACCAGGCATGGAGCAACTAAATGTAATGTCTGTCATAGTAAAGAGCGGTGTGACACCAGGCATAGATATAAACATGCACCCACCTGTATCTCCAAGATAAGCTGTTTTTTCCTCTCTTGGATACTCCAAAGTAACTGCTGCTCTTCTGTGGTTAAATCTGCAGCAAATATTGGAAGTTGACAATGAAAGTGTCACCATGTGAAGCAATTTTCAGCTACACTAATATTGTTGTTCATCGATCACAAGTTGTGAATACAAGCTAGCATTCAAACAATAGTAATGTTCAATGACTGTGGGTCTGACTGTGAGTATGACTGTGAGTGTTAGTATGAGTGTGACTGCCTGTAAGTATTAGTGTGACTGTGAATGTGAGTATGACTGTGGGTGTGAGTGTGACTGTGACTGAGTGTAACTGTGACTGTGAGTGTGACTTTCAGTGTGACTGTAAGTTTGAGTGTGACTGTGAGTGTGACTGTGCGTGTGACTGTGCGTGTGAGTTTGACTGTGAGTGTAACTACAACATAACATTTAAACAGTCCTTTAAATAGGTAAATGCAGAAGAAGAAGGATGCAATGTTATCATCAAAATTCTTTTTTCTCATTTTACGCTGACTCGTATCATAGGCCAATAACAGACAAAACTACCCTACTACACCCTCAAACCAAACACTGACAGAGCACATACAAGATCCAGTCAAACTTACAGTTGGGTTCAAAAGTTGTGGCAGTCCCTAATCCGAAATGGCGGCTGCCTATTCACCAGTGGGCCATGCTATTCCCTTGGATATCCTGGGAATGAAACCCACTACATTTTCGTACAGTGCCGGTTAAGCCCCTGTCCTTGTCATGCAAGATTCTGAGATGCACCCCGGGTGAATGGCCCAAATATGCGCAGGCAGTGTTAATGTCACAACCAATGCATGATAACTGTACCTCATTACCTAACAGATTCTTTGCATACACTTCTAATCCCTAAATAATGCTACATACGAATAACTGCTCCAGAACACTGTACGAAACGATTACAGCTATGGCTTTACCAAACAATACACTTTAGGTTTGCATTAATTGGTCGATAACACATTACACAGCTAACAGGTCTTTGTCCTAGAAATGTCACACTCAAGTCCACTCCAGTCTGTCCAGAGCTCGCTCTGTCCAACTCTTTTGTTCCCCTATCTCGTTCAACTCATCTACATTTCTCATGACTTTTTCCACACTTAGAGTTCAGTCGTCATGACTTCTCGTTGTTTGTCATGATAGTCTAACCTTGAGTTTGCATCTGGGTACAGACATGAGTGATAAACATAAACATAAACATACCTACATAGGCTGAACTGGCACCTGACAAATGTCACAACCACAACCTGTCACAACATGACTTGCCTGAACTACAACTTGCCACAACATGATATGCCACAACTACAACTTGCCTCAACATGACTTGTCACAACATGACATGTCACAACTACAAGTTGCTACAATATGACTTAACACAACATAACTTGTCACTTCATGACTTGCTACAACATGACTTGCCACAAATACAACTTGCCACAACATAACTTGCCGCAACTACAACTTGCCATAACTACAAGTTGATACAATATGACTTAAGACAACATAACTTGTCACAACATGACTTGTCAGAACTACAACTTGCCATAACATGACTTGTCACAACTACAAGTTGCTACAACATAACTTGTCACTTCATGACTTGCTACAACATGACTAGCCACAACTACAACTTGCCACAACATGACTTGTCACAACTACAACTTTGATGGGCTGGTGACTGTCTGATGGGATAATTGGCTATATGATGGGTTAGTTGGTTGTATGATGTTCCTGTTGGTTGTTTGATGAGCTTGTTGGTTGTTTGATGAGCTGGTTGGTTGTTTGATGAGCTGGTTGTTTGTTTGATGAGCTGGTTGGTTGTCCGATGAGCTGGTTGGTTGTTTGATGAGCTTGTTGGTTGTTTGATGAGCTTGTTGTTTGTTTGATGAGCTGGTTGTTTGTTTGATGAGCTGGTTGTTTGTTTGATGAGCTTGTTGTTTGTTTGATGAGCTGGTTGGTTGTCCGATGAGCTGGTTGTTTGTTTGATGAGCTGGTTGGTTGTCCGATGAGCTGGTTGGTTGTTTGATGAGCTGGTTGGTTGTTTGATGAGCTGGTTGGTTGTTTGATGAGCTGGTTGGTTGTTTGATGAGCTGGTTGGTTGTTTGATGAGCTGGTTGGTTGTCCGATGAGCTGGTTGGTTGTTTGATGAGCTTGTTGGTTGTTTGATGAGCTTGTTGGTTGTTTGATGAGCTGGTTGTTTGTTTGATGAGCTGGTTGGTTGTCCGATGAGCTGGTTGGTTGTTTGATGAGCTTGTTGGTTGTTTGATGAGCTGGTTGGTTGTTTGATGAGCTTGTTGGTTGTTTGATGAGCTGGTTGTTTGTTTGATGAGCTGGTTGTTTGTTTGATGAGCTGGTTGTTTGTTTGATGAGCTGGTTGTTTGTTTGATGAGCTGGTTGGTTGTTTGATGAGCTTGTTGGTTGTTTGATGAGCTGGTTGTTTGTTTGATGAGCTGGTTGTTTGTTTGATGAGCTGGTTGTTTGTTTGATGAGCTGGTTGTTTGTTTGATGAGCTGGTTGGTTGTTTGATGAGCTTGTTGGTTGTTTGATGAGCTGGTTGTTTGTTTGATGAGCTGGTTGGTTGTTTGATGAGCTGGTTGTTTGTTTGATGAGCTGGTTGGTTATCCGATGAGCTGGTTGGTTAATTGGTGAGCTGGATCACTGTAACAGTGATCTAGTTGGATGTATGCTGGTATGGCTGTGTTTGATGGGCTGGGTGACCGTATTATGGGGCGGTTAATTGTATGTTGGTTTGGTTGATTATATGTTGGTCTGGTGGACTGTATGTTGGTCTGGTTGATGGTAAGTTGGTCTGGTTGATTGTATAATAGTCTTGCTGATTGTATGCTGGTCTGGTTGATTGTATGATGGGCGGTATTATGGTCTGGTTAATTGTATGTTGGTCGACTGTTTGATGGGATGGGTGACCATATGATGGGCTGGGTGATCGCATGATGGGCTGAAAGACCGCAGTATGTGCTGGGTGACTGTATGAAGGGCTGGTGAATTGTATGTTTATGTTGGGTTTTCACCTATTGGAAACTGGCAAGTTTTAATAGGAGGCATTTTTTTAAAAATGGTCTCGACTTCAGTAAACATTATTTAACTACTTTCTAGGTACTTTTAAAACAAAGCTTCTGAGGTACTGAATTTTTCGATGCCAAAAAGTTAAACATGTTGACTTGTTCATTGTAAAAAGCTCTGTTTTGTGAAAGAACACTGTCAATAGTTAATTAGTAGTATAATACTTCCAAACAAAGCAAAGACTCCGGTAGGGGCAACACCAGACCGTTTGGAAAATAAAATGAATAAATAAATACATTACCGCTGATGCTGAAATGATTCACAGTAACTGCTTCCATTGTGGCAACCACGAAGAGAAGCCGTTAGTGAAGTAATGTGACAAACAAACCAGAAATAACGTCTAGCTAGTTGGGCCAGCCGCAGATTCTTGGTTGTCGCCTTGTCCTGTTTACTTCTGCTAGGGTACGAAACTAACTGCTACCTTTTCTCCTATCCCTTTTATTCACAGAGTTCACACGAAATGCCACATTTTGTTGGTATATTGTGGTTAATCACACCATAACCACAATTTGAGCAATAGAAAACGCTGAATGTGAAACTAAACTTGACCACATATGTATATGTCTCGACCTCTGACCTACAGGTGAGAGAGTCGAGGGGTGGGAATCCGGATACCTAGAACACCTTCCTACTTCCACACCTGAACAGTGATGTAGGTTTATTTCATATTGTTTATTAGCCTACAGGTAATTTTGTTACAACACTGACCCTAATATCTATGTTTCTGTAGTATGTGTACAAGCTGTATGTTAGACATAAAACGGCCGTGTCTATACGTTAAATCTAATCCACTTGCATATGAAGACATGCACATGCACAGATACCAAGCTACATTAATTATTATTATTATTGCATAATTAATAAACACAGGAAACATTTCCTTAAGTAAATAAAAGACATGCACAGCGGACGAAGCATTAACGGTCATTTAGTAGCAGGCAGCACAGTTGTACTGGCCGAACATCCACAATAGTTGTAGAATCACATGGATACAATAAACAGCAGTGGTCTGGGGGTGGTATCTGGTATCTTTAATCGCATCACGACAGGAACACGAACAGTCTGGTCTTGGTTAGACGATGACCACAAGGACAGAAGCATGAACAGTCTAGTCTTGGTTGGATGATGACCACAAGGCCAGGATCATGGACAGTCTAGTCTTTGTTGGATGATGACCACAAGGACAGAAGCATGGACAGTCTAGTCTTTGTTGGATGATGACCACAAGGACAGAATCACGAACAGTCTAGCCTTGGTTGGATGATGACCACAAGACCAGGAGCATGGACAGTCTAGTCTTTGTTGGATGATGACCACAAGGCCAGGAGCATGAACAGTCTAGTCTTGGTTGGATGATGACCACAAGGACAGTTTTTGACACTGACCAGAAAGAGTTATAACTAAACCTGCCAGACAGTTACTTTGGCTATCCTCCTAATAATAGTCCCAAATTATCGAGGCCAAAAATATACCCTAACAGGGCCTCAGTCACGTGTCATTTGCGAACTTCCGTGGTCAATACTGCCACCCTCGAATTGCACACTTCCGGGGACTATACCGCCACCGCCGAGAGTATCCCCCAAGCCGCTCACGCGGCGTGGATTGGGGCTAAACTAGGTGGCTGGGACTCACAAGCAAATCAAATGAAGGAAGCTGCAGGAGATGCGGTAGCTGCTGCTCGTGTGTCCCAGCCATCTAGTTTAGCCCCAATCCACGCCGCGTGAGCGGATTGGAGGATACTCTCGGGGGTGGCTGAAGTTGCAGGAAGTGCGCAATTTAAGTTGCTGGAAGTTCACAATTGACACGTGACTGAGGCCCTGTTAGGGTATATTTTCGGCCTCGATAATTTGGGACCATTTTTCGAAGGATAGCTGTTACTTTTAAATTTCTCCCTGAGGTATAACTAAACCTCCCAGACAGTTACTTTTTGTTGAACCTCTCCCTGAAGTATAACTAAACCTCCCAGACAGTTACATTTTGTTGAACCTATCCCTGAGGTATAACTAAACCTCCCAGACAGTTACTTTTTGTTAAACCTATTCCTGAGGTATAACTAAACCTCCCAGACAGTTACTTTTTGTTAAACCTATTCCTGAGGTATAACTAAACCTCCCAGACAGTTACATTTTGTTGAACCTATCCCTGAGGTATAACTAAACCTCCCAGACAGTTAGTTTTTGTTAAACCTATTCCTGAGGTATAACTAAACCTCCCAGACAGTTACTTTTTGTTAAACCTATTCCTGAGGTATAACTAAACCTCCCAGACAGTTACTTTTTGTTAAACCTATTCCTGAAGTATAACTAAACCTCCCAGACAGTTACTTTTTGTTAAACCTATTCCTGAGGTATAACTAAACCTCCCAGACAGTTACTTTTTGTTAAACCTATTCCTGAGGTATAACTAAACCTCCCAGACAGTTACTTTTTGTTAAACCTATTCCTGAAGTATAACTAAACCTCCCAGACAGTTACTTTTTGTTAAACCTATCCCTGAGGTATAACTAAACCTCCCAGACAGTTACTTTTTGTTAAACCTATCCCTGAGGTATAACTAAACCTCCCAGACAGTTACTTTTTGTTAAACCTATCCCTGAGGTATAACTAAACCTCCCAGACAGTTACTTTTTGTTAAACCTATTCCTGAAGTATAACTAAACCTCCCAGACAGTTACTTTTTGTTAAACCTATTCCTGAAGTATAACTAAACCTCCCAGACAGTTACTTTTTGTTAAACCTATTCCTGAAGTATAACTAAACCTCCCAGACAGTTACTTTCCTCCCAGGTGTTCCTAAACCAAACAGGTAGCTATTTATTTAAATCCCTCCTCTTTTGGGCATAATTAAACCTGTAAGACAATTACAGTTTTAACCCCACCTCTCTCTCTTTGTCTGTCTCTCTATGTCTGTCTCTCTCTCTCTGTGTGTCTCTCTCCTGCTGTCTGTCTCTATCTCTGTCTGTCTGTCTGTCTCTCTGTCTCTCTCTCTCTCTCTCTCTCTCTCTCTCTCTCTCTCTCTCTCTCTCTCTCTCTCTCTCTCTCTCTCTCTTTCTCTCAGGAATCACAAAACTTCTCAGACAATTACTATGTTAACTCCTCCTCTGTTCTGGGAATTGTCTTGAAAGAAAAGAGGTTGAGGAAGGGAACTGGTCACCATATATGATGTCATCTGAAATGCTTAAAGCTCCACACCTCGCCACATTTGATATGGTCTGGAATACCTGAGAGTCTAACATTTGACATCCCAGTGGGAGAGCACTGATCTCTTGACATCACTAGTCTCATATGTGTGTACCTGTGAGCACTGATCTCTTGACATCACTAGTCTCATATGTGTGTACCTGTGAGCACTGATCTCTTGACATCACTAGTCTCATATGTGTGTACCTGTGAGCACTGATCTCTTGACATCACTAGTCTCATATGTGTGTACCTGTGAGCACTATCTCTTGACATCACTAGTCTCGTATGTGTGTACCCGTGAGCACTATCTCTTGACATCACTAGTCTCGTATGTGTGTACCTGTAGCAGGGGAAGAGCAGTGATCTCTTGACATCACTAGTCTTGTATGTGTGTACCTGTGAGCACTGAACTTTTTACATCACTAGTCTCATTTGTGTGTATCAGGTGGGAGAGCACTAGTCTCGTATGTGTACACCTGTAGCATGTGTACATGTTTGATTTTAGGCCTTAAACATATCTGTGCCATAATTGCCTGCATTTTTTGCCTGTTTTTTTCTCCTGCGTATAGTTTTTCTCATAGAAGTCTCATAGTTTGTCCAGTAGAAGCCACATTGTCCCATCAAAACCTAGCTTTTTGTTTCATTGAAGTCTCATAGTTTGCCATAGAAGCTGCATAGTTTGCTTAAGTTTTGTCACTATAGCTCATTTGTGCTGACAGCTTGCTCAAATAGTATTTTCAGATAGTTTGTTTCATGTTTTCTCATATTCTGTCCCTCATCTCATGTCTCACGGCTTGCCTTATAGTTATTTTTTTGGTTTCTCATGTTCTGTCTCTGATACCATGTCTCAGGACTTGCCTCATAGTTTGTTTCATGTTTTCTCATATTCTGTCCCTGATACCACGTCTCTGGACTTGCCTCATAGTTTCATGTTTTCTCATATTCTGTCCCTCATCTCATGTCTCACGGCTTGCCTTATAGTTTGTTTCATTTTTCCTCATATTCTGTCCCTCATCTCATGTCTCACGGCTTGCCTTATAGTTTGTTTCATGTTTTCTCATGTTCTGTCCCTGATACCATGTCTCAGGACTTGCCTCATAGTTTGTTTCATGTTTTCTCATGTTCTGTCCCTGATACCATGTCTCAGGACTTGCCTCATAGTTTGTTTCATGTTTTCTCGTGTTCTGTCTCTGATACCATATCTCAGGACTTGCCTCATAGTTTGTTTCATGTTTTCTCATATTCTGTCCCTGATACCATGTCTCAGGACTTGCCTCATAGTTTGTTTCATGTTTTCTCATATTCTGTCCCTCATCTCAGGTCTCATGGCTTGCCTTATAGTTTGTTTTATGTTTTCTCATGTTCTGTCCCTGATACTATGTCTCATGACTTGCCTCATAGTTTGTTTCATGTTTTCTCATGTTCTGTCCCTGTTATCATGTCTCACGACTTGCCTCATAGTTTGTTTCATGTTTTCTCATGTTCTGTCCCTGATACCATGTCTCAGAACTTGCCTCATAGTTTGTTTCATGTTTTCTCATATTCTATCCCTGATACCATGTCTCATGACTTGCCTCATAGTTTGTTTCATGTTTTCTCATATTCTGTCCCTGATACAATGTCTCACGGCTTGTCTCATAGTTTGACAGTCTGTCTTTGATTCTCCTGCCTTGAAATTCTGAATACATTTTATTCACAGGAGATTGCCATCTTTAGCTGCGCCATGATTGTCGCCGTTGTGTTGAGTATTGCATTTCCTGTGTGCTTCGTTGCATTGCTGATTGGTTGCCTTGACTGCCTGTTTAAGAAACGAAGATTAGAGGTAATTTGTTGAATAAGCATTGGGTGTCAATGACAATAGTTAGATAAAGCTTTGTTTGTGTGTAGCCTTTATCTTGTCGCCATAGAAGGTTTTAAAAAACTAAACTTAAAAAGGCCATGACACCATGGAAATTTTTTATAAAAGTCATAAAAATATTTTTTAGATGTCACTAAAATTATTTTTGTTTTACTGTGTTTATTTCAATTTGAAATGTTTTGTTTTGAAATATATAAAAGAAGTTACCAGTTAACATGAACAGGGTGAAGCATCAAATGGAGTGCATTACCCAGGGCCTAAACAAAAAACAAAACAAAAACCAATATGTATTGGGTGACTGATGCTGTGTTCTCTATCACTGAGGCTTACTGGAAAATGTGAACTCTGCCAACAGCATTAAATATGCATCACCTAAGTAGGTCACTCAATACAAGTAGGAAAAGTGACATTTACAGAGAATTAGATCCAGCCAAAAATGTTGGTTTTGCAGCTTTTTGGGATGACAGGATTAGGTAGTATTGTTTTATTTAATTTTGACTAGTGGTACATATCATGAACCTGTCCCCCCATCCTGCTGGCGCAAGATTTTCTGTCTGCTCCCATTCATGCCGTGGCTGTTCACATGGGCCAGTCTATGTTCTAGGGGTGTTAACATATGTGTTTCTTTCCCTGTTTCACCATCCATGCACACCGTGCAGAAAATATTCCAGGCCCGACATGATGAGAGTGTGCAGATCTCTTTCTTTGGACAACAGGATTGTTAGAGCTGATATTCCCAGACTTAAAAAAATTACAGGGGCATCAAAAGAGACAGCAGACCGGTATCTGAGAATCACTTTTGACAGAAGCTTGTCTTTCAGGGATAACATAGAGGGGATTGTGACAAGGTCCTAAATAAATCTTAATGCACTAAAGGACATTATATTTTCTATTGGCTTTCGTTGCGAACCCTCAGGCACTTCTCCTTCCTCTCTACACCGAACCATCTGTATAGATGATCAGATTATCTGATGCCTGGGAGTTCTTAGCGAAAGCCAATGGAAAACCTTTAGTGCAGGACAGCCCAGCATATGATACCACAACATCTAGCATGAGAATCGAGGTGGAGGCTGTCACTGCAGCTTGTGGGTGGCTAGAGAACAAGATACATACACATGTTGTAATTGTAATAGACTCTGAAAGCATGCATAAAGACAGGGATGCTTCAAGCAGAGTAGCAAGCTTCACTTGCAAGGTCATGGGTTGTGAGCGTACTTTGGATCTTTTCTCCAGGCTATGTTGGCGTGGTGGGGAATGAACAGAAAGACAGACCACCTGGGTCTGCACCACTGTGTGGTGAATTGATACATGACAATGTAGATGTGGTCAAGGGCCATTAGGAACATGTAATAAAGTCCGAAGAGAAACAGAATTATTATGGCCTGTAGAGAATGGTGTGTGACCAGAGAGTTTGGCTGGCTCACTGTACTCAAAGGAAAAGCAAGACGGACATATAACCAGACTACGACTGGTACCATTAGTATTGATGCTCTGCACTGGCTGTTGAAGATAGGGACGAAGCGCATTTGGTAATGCGCCGATTGCTGTGATGTCAATTCTTGACTCAACTCAACTGAAAGAGAGTTGATTCTTGAATCAGTCAGCACATGTTGAATATATAAGTAGATCACTGAATTGTCTAGTAAACTAAATCAGTCTTAAACTCCAGGATGTATGGAATTGTTCTCCGGGGCTGCCCTCTGTACAACAAGCTAGGACAGATATGCTAGTCCACTGAATCAAACTCCAGGATGTATGGAATTGTTCTCCAGGGCTGCCCTCTGTACAACAAGCTAGGACAGATATGCTGGTCCACTGAATCAAACTCCAGAATGTGTGGAACTTTTCTCCGGGGCTGCCCTCTGTACAACAAGCTAGGACAAAGATGCTAGTCCACTGAATCAAACTCCAGGATGTGTGCAACTGTTCAGCTCAGCTGGAAACTGAGATCAAGTCTAGTAGAGAAATGACCCAGAAAGAATGATTCTTACTTCATTACTGGAGAGCTCCCTCACAAGTGTAGTAGTAGTGTAGAACCCACAAGCGAGATTCTAGCCATCAGATGCTAATCTTTGTGTCTCATTTTTCAGGGTTTCCGAAGTCGAGATGCTACAGATGGCCGACACACTAATGCATTTTCTGTAGACATCTGTGATGTCCCTAGCACGTCCGAGCAGGTTACAATTGAACCGCTGCCAGATATTTTATCAAAAGTGTCAGTCGCACCAGCACTGCGACCTCAGATAACATTTGTCGACAGAGGGGAGCATGCATCCACGGCACCACTTATCAGTAAGTTGTATGAAAGGCACACAGTTTCCAAAGTTCCGTATGACCGGTCACATTTGAGAGGCAATGTCTGCTTTATGTCAGCTTGAGAGGGAGAGAGATCTGTGATATTTCCTGTATATTTATTCTCAATAAAATTTTTATTTTCAAGCAGAAAGCTCTAGTGATATTTATAATAAACGTGTCCCTTTTTTTCTTAACCAGGTGTCCAACGCTCTTTTCCCCGGGATCATTTGACATATTTAAATGAAATTGGTTCTGGATGGTTTGGCAAGGTAAGGGTAAAGAATGTTGTGATATCAGCTATGACATATTTATGCATACATTCGTATTTATATATATATATATTTTTTTGCTTGTTATGGCAAACTGTAAGCATGTTTTTCTATTGATATTAGCTAAACCATATTTATACTTGTATTTACATTTATAACAACTTTACCCAAGTTTATACAATTTATTTATATCAGCTAAACCAGATTGTTAATGTCTGTGAATGCATGCACATGTCAGTTCTGCCAGATTTAAGGCATGTTCAAGCCAGCTTTCAGGAATGTGCGTTTCTATACATTTATATCAGCTCCAAAAGACAGGTCTTGCCTTTTTTCTAGATCTTTAAATAACATTACAGCACATAGAATCTAGGTCTTGGGATAACATTACAGCACATAGAATCTAGATCTTGGGATAACATTACAGCACATAGAATCTAGATCTTGGGATAACATTACAGCTCATAGAATCTAGATCTTGGGATAACATTACAGCTCATAGAATCTAGATCTTGGGAACACATTACAGAACACAGAATCCAGATCTTTGGATAACATTGCAAAACATAGAATCTAGATCTTTGGATAACATTGCAGCACATAGAAATCAGACAGAGCAAGATCTCTGTTTGAGACAGTCAGTTCGAAAAGGGGGGGGGGGGAATATTTGAGGAATGAGACAGTCAGTCTGGGGGATGTTTGAGACAGTCAGTCTGGGGTTTGTTTGAGACAGTCAGTCTGGAGGATGTTTGAGACAATCAGTCTGGGGGATGTTTGAGACAATCAGTCTGGAGGATGTTTGAGACAATTAGTCTGGGGGATGTTTGAGACAGTCAGTCTGGGGGATGTTTGAGACAGTGAGTCTGGGGGATGTTTGAGACAATCAGTCTGGAGGATGTTTGAGACAATTAGTCTAGGGGATGTTTGAGACAGTCAGTCTGGAGGATGTTTGAGACAGTCAATCTGGGGGATGTTTGAGACAGTCAGTCTGGGGGATGTTTGAGACAATCAGTCTGGGGAATGTTTGAGACAGTAGTCTAGGGGTTGTTTGAGACAGTCAGTCTGGGGGATGTTTGAGACAATCAGTCTGGGGGATGTTTGAGACAATCAGCCTAGAGGATGTTTGAGACAGTCAGTCTGGAAGATGTTTGAGACAGTCAGTCTATGGGTTGTTTGAGACAGTCAGTCTGGGGGATGTTTGAGACTGTCAGTCTGGGGGATGTTTGAGACAGTGAGTCTAGGGGTTGTTTGAGACAGTCAGTCTGGGGGATGTTTGAAGAAGTCAGTCTGGGGAATGTTTGAGACAATCAGTCTGGGGGATGTTTGAGACAATCAGTCTGGGGGATGTTTGAGACAGTCAGTCTGGGGGATGTTTGAAGAAGTCAGTCTTGGGGATGTTTGAGACAGCAAGTCTGGGGGATGTTTGAGACAGCAAGTCTGGGGGATGTTTGAGACAGTCAGTCTGGAGGATGTTTGAGACAGTGAGCCTGTGGGATGTTTGAGACAGTGAGTCTTTGGGATGTTTGAGACAGTCAGTCTGGAGGCTGTTTGAGACAGTGAGTCTGTGGGATGTTTGAGACAATCAGTCTGGAGGATGTTTGAGACAGTCAGTCTGGGGGTTGTTTGAGACAGTCAGCCTGGGGGATGTTTGAGACAGTCAGTCTGGGGGATGTTTGAGGCAGTCAGTCTGGGGGATGTTTAAGACAGTCAGTCTTGAGGATGTTTGAGACAGTCAGTCTGGGGGATGTTTCAGGTAATTTGTCTGTGATGTTTAAGACACTCAGTCTTTTGGAAGTTTTAGACAGTCAGTCTGGGGGATGTTTGAGGTTATGATTTTGGGGGATTTTTGAGGTATGAGTCTGGGTGGTGTTTGAGACAGTGAGTTTGGGGGATGTTTAACCCTTTTAGCACGGGAAGTTTTTCAGATGTCTAGCCAGAAACACGGAGCATTTTTTTTCAGTAAATTTGGTTATTACTTTATTTAATTTTGTTGACACATTTCTGTTATTCTGACCCCCATGAAATAACATATCTATTTGAAGGATATAGATTGAAGTTCATGATTTTCACAATATCGTTAAAATTAATTGGTGTATATGCAAATTATCTCCTTTGCATATCTAAAAAAAGAAAATTAGAATGTGAATTTTCAACTTCAATGCATGAAACACAACTAAAAACAAAAATATATTTTATTTGAAATCTTTTTATTGATCCTTGGCCTTTTTTCAAATGTTGTAAGCAATTCAATAGTCAAAAACAGTTATATATATATATGAAACAGCAATAATATCTTTAGGTTACATGTGTTTTTGACCATCAGTCAGCACAAGAGATGGATGTGCCGGAGTGCTAACAGTTTGGGTAGATGTACCCAGAGCCATGGTTGGGCTGTGGTCTGAACACAACAGCGTCCCCATCTGATTCCCCACTATTACTACTAACACTAGATCCTGCATCAGTATCAACAGAATAAGTGTAATCACTTGATTCAAATGTTTTATCAACATCAAGTTTAGGGGCAGAAACATACGAGTCAGACATACTTTTAGCGGTTCAGGTCACTATCTAAAAAATTCAACAACAATTTTCACTTCGATACCAAACACTCGAAAGTCACCATGTGTAAAGCTAAAACAGCAGTGAAAATGAATGAATCACTTTCAGTGTTTCAAAGTAGGAGATTTCTTAGCGGTTCGTGGTGAAACACGATCGGGTCGATGATCGGCCGTTCCGTGTTTTTGGCCAGACATCCGCCGGCCGATAATCGGCCTGTCCGTGCTAAGAGGGTTAATATAATGAGTCTGAGGAGTGTTTCAGGTAATAAGTCTGGGGGATGTTTTAAGTAATGAGTCTGGGTGATGTTCAGGTAATAAGTCTGGGGGAATGAATGAGGCAGTCAGTCTGGGGGATGTTTATTACAGTGAGTCTGGGGGATGTTTGAGACAGTGAGTCTGGGGGATGTTTCAGGAAATGAGTCTAGGGGATTTTTCAGGTAATGAGTCTGGGGGGTGTTTTAGGTAAAGATTTTGGTCGAAGTTTCAGATAAAGAGTCTGGGGAATGTTTCAGTCAATGAGTCGGGGGGCTGTTTGAGACAGTGAGTCTGGGGTATGTTTCAGGTAATGAATCTGGAGGGTGTTTGAGGTAATGCACCAGTGAAATATTTTTTTAGGCTTTCATGTAGAGAGCACAAGCTGTTCCTTGTCTTCCCTCTTTTCCACCACACTACAAGCAATTAACAGTGTTTGTATACAGTCTAGGCATTGTGAGAGTAAGCATGTTTATTTTATTCTCTGTGTCAAGGCCATCGAATCAGAAGCCATTCAGATTGTGGGTGGAAGTCTTAAAAGCCATGTTGTGGTTAAAATGCTCAAGGATGATGCTTCTAAACTGGAGCAGAAACAGTTTCTGGATGAAGTCCATGCTTACAGGTATGGTTGACTGGATTTGTGTTCTTAAAAATTGTGACATTAGGATCGGGGAAATTAAAAAAAATAAAAATAACAGTTCATAAAAATATATTTTAGTTTTACAATTTGGAGAGCATTGCTGCAGACGACTTTGTCTGGCATGACTAGATTTCTGGTGTGTGGCAAATTTTGAGTGTTTAGATGTTGAAATGACTTCACAAATGTGTACTGTTTGAGAATCAGTGACATTATCTCTGCAGCATTTACTGTCCAGATTGTGGCAGATTTCTTCAAGTTTGGTGGATCTGGAAAACTGGAGCTGTCTCTAAACTGACTCCAGAATTGTTGTTGACAGTAGGGTTCTCTATGGTTTAGACACACAAATAACCTGGCATAAATGCATGTGCAAGTAGGCCAGGAAGTAACCCAGCAAAGGACAGTTTTCCTGTGTGTTCACTGGTTCCATATATCTGGCATTTATTTCAACTTCTAAAGCACCACAGCTGACACTGACAAACATTGTTGTACACTGTGTGTAAACCTCCGATTGGTCTGAAAAAACTAGGTCAGTATTAATATTCATTTTTAAAATATTGCTGCAATTTTTCTGCTTTGAATGTTTTTTAAATGCTGACTTTTTGTCTCAGGTGTCTAGATCATGCAAACTTGATGAGCCTTTTGGGTCAGTGCACTGAAACAGCTCCGTTCCTTGTCATCCTGGAGTTTGCTGCCTATGTAAGTTGTTTTTTTTAATTTAAAAAAAAAAAACAAAAAAAAACAACCTTGCAGCTTGATATAAATACAACAAAACAGTGAATAGCTTTTGCCAATTTCTAGGACGTCTTCCTCACAAAACAGGAAAGCCAGAGTTTGACATGATGTCTATGAAAACAAACTATTATTCTATGAAGCATGTCAGAGATGAGTCCGGTTAGTCCGATTATTTCTGTTATATGCATCACTGATCTTGTCAGCAGAAGCCAGGGAATCCAGCTTGAGGCTTTTTTTTCACACTACATGAAAGTTTATTCATTTCTGCACATAATAATTCACTTCTTGTTCCTAATTCTGTCTGAATGTAATTTAATTTATTTTTTTTCATATTGACATGGTAAATATTTATTTGCCTAATTATATAGGCAGAAATATTTAAACTGTCATAGCTCAGTTTTTTATAAACCTTTTAAAAACACTTGTTCCACCTGCTTATTAGAAATTGTAGAATTGTGATAATCTGTTCCGTGTAATCCATGTTGGGAGATATAGACTAGAAATAGCTGGGAATGATGCAGTTATATTTAATGAAAGGGAACTAATCAGGGTTAAGCTGTGGCACATTGTTTCCACATTTTCTAGATTTGATCAAATACATGAAAGAGCAGCTGAAGAAGGGAATAAAATGGATAAGAAGATAAAATGAGCACGATAAAGTATTCAGACAGCTGGTAGATAAGCAGAGGATGACTCACATGCAGCAGGAGCTTATTAGATCAAGGATTCTTGTGAAAATCAACATAAGTTAACTCTTTGTGTGTGTGTGTGTGTGTGCAATTTTCTTAAAATCCTTGTTTGACATTTTTTAAAAACTGTGTTACCCACAATATCTCATAAAGTTATGAACATATTGTCTACAAGCTTGGCGCACACACAAAGTTCAACAACACTCAAACAGACTGAACTGTAATGAATACAGCAGTTTGAAAATCTTATGATGTTTTGTCATGTATGTTAACCCTTACCTCTAATTTTGTGGGTAAAAATGATTGTTTCACATAAATTAGCACAACTTTTAAATAATAGCTGTAATTAAAAATGTGTTAGTTAGTTAGGTATAAAATATAATGCCTAATTTATGGACCAGTTTTCATGAAGCCATCTTTATTAGTTTTTGAGATGATCTGATGCCATGGTCAATACAAATTTGGCCATTTTCCACATAAAGTACGGCATTTTCTATAAGCAACCATGAAAATATGTTGATTTTAGCCCCAAAACAATACTTTTCTTAAATCTTTAACCAGTATGTACCTTCAGAAAACATTGTTTCTGGCAGATATAATCAAATTCATTTTGTAGTAACATGTGATATGTGAAGTAGCCAGTTAGTTTAAGTTTTAGTCATGATCATTGGTCAAATGAATCATCACTTTCAACAGACCAGTGTTTGTGAAGAAACAAAATCCCCTGCACTTGAAGGTAGGGCGTATGATGATGATAATGATATTAGCTGTGCTATGATTGCATTGTTGGTTCAACCAGACTGTCACTGACTACATTACAGGGCAGTTTGAAAAGTTTTCTTGTTGAGCACAGCCAGGACCAGGAAACATTGGTGGCCAAAAATAGATACATCAGTTTTGCATTGGATGCTGCGGCTGGGCTGGCCTGTTTGCACAGACATGACTACATACATAAGTAAATAATACTTATTTTGTTTTAGTTCCATGGTTTTGTTTGGTAATAATTATTTCTACTCTAAATTTGTCTATATGCTTATTTGGTTTGTCAGTATAGATTTGAAAAAAAAAAGGTGTCATAAATATTTAACACATGTATGTTTGAAATATATTATTTCTTGATAATGCCTATCCATTAAAACTATTCTTTATAAACAGCACAGATGATATTACAAACTGTATATGTTAGTCTCATGCTTCCTGATATTAAACATATATTTTATAATTTTGTTGCTGAATTCTTCTTTCATATTTCCTGCTGTCGACATTAAGGTTAAAATTAAGCAGATATTATAAGTTCTGTGAGATAATGTTGGCTATAAAGTCATGAACCTTTGCATTGGCAGTAATAATCTTTTACTGTAGAAAGTGTACGTGTCAGGTCTGTTTATGGCATGTATCATATTGGTATACCAACATAAGTATCCTCTTTAGCGCTTATAGTTTGTGTCCTTATTTCTAATTACATTTTTTTTAAAGTGATGTTTAGTCACTAATTGACAGTTTCAGTTTTCAGTGACTAATTGACATTGTCAGTGTTCAGTGACTAATTGACATTGTCAGTGTTCAGTGACTAATTGACAGTGTCAGTGTTCAGTCACTAATTGACAGTGTCAATGTTCAGTCACTAGTTGACAGTGTCAATGTTCAGTTACTAATTGACAGTGTCAGTGTTCAATCACTAATTGACAGTGTCAGTGTTCAGTCACTAGTTGACAGTGTCAGTGTTCAGTCACTAGTTGACAGTGTCAGTGTTCAGTCACTAGTTGACAGTGTCAGTGTTCAGTCACTAGTTGACAGTGTCAGTGTTCAGTCACTAATTGACAGTGTCAGTGTTCAGTCACTAATTGACAGTGTCAGTGTTCAGTCACTAGTTGACAGTGTCAGTGTTCAGTCACTAGTTGACAGTGTCAGTGTTCAGTCACTAGTTGACAGTGTCAGTGTTCAGTCACTAGTTGACAGTGTCAGTGTTCAGTCACTAATTGACAGTGTCAGTGTTCAGTCACTAATTGACAGTGTCAGTGTTCAATCACTAATTGACAGTGTCAATGTTCAGTCACTAATTGACAGTGTCAGTGTTCAGTCACTAATTGACAGTGTCAGTGTTCAGTCACTAGTTGACAGTGTCAGTGTTCAGTCACTAGTTGACAGTGTCAGTGTTCAGTCACTAGTTGACAGTGTCAGTGTTCAGTCACTAATTGACAGTGTCAGTGTTCAGTCACTAATTGACAGTGTCAGTGTTCAGTCACTAATTGACAGTGTCCAGTGTTCAGTCACTAATTGACAGTGTCAGTGTTCAGTCACTAGTTGACAGTGTCAGTGTTCTAGTCACTTAGTTGACAGTGTCAGTGTTCAGTCACTAATTGACAGTGTCGTGTTCAGTCACTAATTGACAGTGTCAGTGTTCAATCACTAATTGGACAGTGTCCAGTGTTCAGTCACTAATTGACAGTGTTCAGTGTTCAGTCACTAATTGACAGTGTCAGTGTTCAGTCACTAATTGACAGTGTCAGTGTTCAGTCACTAGTTGACAGTGTCAGTCAGTGTTTCAGTCACTAGTTGACAGTGTCAGTGTTCAGTCACTAGTTGACAGTGTCAGTGTTCAGTCACTAATTGACAGTGTCAGTGTTCAGTCACTAATTGACAGTGTCAGTGTTCAGTCACTAATTGACAGTGTCAGTGTTCAGTCACTAGTTGACAGTGTCAGTGTTCAGTCACTAGTTGACAGTGTCAGTGTTCAGTCACTAATTGACAGTGTCAGTGTTCAATCACTAATTGACAGTGTCAGTGTTCAGTCACTAATTGACAGTGTCAGTGTTCAGTCACTAATTGACAGTGTCAGTGTTCAGTCACTAATTGACAGTGTCAGTGTTCAGTCACTAATTGACAGTGTCAGTGTTCAGTCACTAGTTGACAGTGTCAGTGTTTAGTCACTAGTTGACAGTGTCAGTGTTCAGTCACTAGTTGACAGTGTCAGTGTTCAGTCACTAGTTGACAGTGTCAGTGTTCAGTCACTAATTGACAGTGTCAATGTTCAGTCACTAGTTGACAGTGTCAATGTTCAGTCACTAATTGACAGTGTCAATGTTCAGTCACTAATTGACAGTGTCAATGTTCAGTTACTAATTGACAGTGTCAATGTTCAGTCACTAATTGACAGTCTCACTGTTCAGTCACTAATTGACAGTGTCAGTGTTCTGTCACTAGTTGACAGTGTCAATGTTCAGTCACTAATTGACAGTGTCAATGTTCAGTCACTAATTGACAGTGTCAATGTTCAGTTACTAATTGACAGTGTCAATGTTCAGTCACTAATTGACAGTCTCACTGTTCAGTCACTAATTGACAGTGTCAGTGTTCTGTCACTAGTTGACAGTGTCAGTGTTCAATCACTAATTGACAGTGTCAGTGTTCAGTCACTAATTGACAGTGTCAATGTTCAGTCACTAATTGACAGTCTCACTGTTCAGTCACTAATTGACAGTGTCAGTGTTCAGTCACTAGTTGACAGTGTCAGTGTTCAGTCACTAATTGACAGTGTCAGTTTTCAGACACTAATTGACAGTGTCAGTGTTCAGTCACTAGTTGACAGTGTCAGTGTTCAGTCACTAATTGACAGTGTCAGTGTTCAGTCACTAGTTGATAGTGTCAGTGTTCAGTCACTAATTGACAGTGTCAGTGTTCAGTCACTAATTGACAGTATCAGTGTTCAGTCACTAATTGACAGTGTCAGTTTTCAGTCACTAATTGACAGTGTCAGTTTTCAGTCACTAATTGACAGTGTCAGTGTTCAGTCACTAATTGACAGTGTCAGTGTTCAGTCACTAATTGACAGTGTCAGTGTTCAGTCACTAGTTGACAGTGTCAGTGTTCAGTCACTAGTTGACAGTGTCAGTGTTCAGTCACTAATTGTCAGTGTTCAGTCACTAATTGACAGTGTCAGTGTTCAATCACTAGTTGACAGTGTTAGTGTTCAGTCACTAATTGACAGTGTCAACGTTCATTCACTAATTGACAGTGTCAATGTTCAGTCACTAATTGACAGTGTCAACGTTTATTTACTAATTGACAGTGTCAGTGTTCAGTCACTAATTGACAGTGTCAGTGTTCAGTCACTAATTGACAGTGTCAATGTTCAGTCACTAATTGACAGTGTCAGTGTTCAGTCACTAATTGACAGTGTCAATGTTCAGTCACTAATTGACAGTGTCAGTGTTCAGTCACTAATTGACAGTGTCAACGTTCAGTCACTAATTGACAGTGTTAGATGCAGCAGACTTGAATCAGTCAGCAAGTCACATGTTGAAATTTACAATTTGATTGTTGCATTGCTCTAATAATTGAAATATTTCCAGTGACCTTGCTGCACGTAACTGCCTTGTCATGTCCGACTACACTTTAAAGATTGGAGACTATGGCATTTCTGATAACCTTTTCAAGGTAATCCTTAAACATTGAAGACAATTCCTGGTTTACTCTCATTTAGTTCTGATTTGTTTTGTTTTTTACTGGGGCAAAGGTATCAGCAAAAGCAAACACATAGAAACAGATTCCCGAAGTGTTTCTGTAGTAAAAGTTAGAAAGTCAACTACGCAGATCTTTGAAAATGTTCAGGGCACACAATGAGATCCAACAGAAGAGAGATTAAGAAAAGGTTGGTTGAAAATGTTCAGGGCACACAATGAGATCCAACAGAAGAGAGATCAAGAAAAGGTTGGTTGAAAATGTTCAGGGCACACAATGAGATCCAACAGAAGAGAGATCAAGAAAAGGTTGGTCTCTTCCACAGATTTGTTTATTCAGATAAGAGTGTTTAGTGTTGTAATGAATGGGTTTGTATTTCTACTCGTTGTCTAGGCGGTGTTCATGCGTGTGTGGTGGATGATATTCTGACACGCTTCACTTTACACACCTGGCACAAGCCGACACCGATGTGAGCTTACGAGACATTACTTTATTGACGTATTAAAACTTACGACAAAAGAGAATCGTCCAGTCGATGTCTAATTGAACCGCTTTCGTACACAAACTCACGCAGCCTTTAACGAATAGTCTTCTGCAGGCATTCAAGCAGCGATGGGTCCCATGGATTCAACACTGACGTTTGGACATCTCACACGCTGGCATGGTCGATCTCAGCTTAACATTTCGTCGGCAGGTCTCCTTTCTCCTCAGGCACTCACGTAGACATTCGTACATTCAATCGCTCGTCCTCTCGCTCCAACAGGTCGACACAAAACTAAACTTGACCAGAGTCAAGTCTGACTTATACCACGGGTTCCTTTCACGTGACAACACGTGGTGGTCCTTTACTTTTCCCGTGGCGACCTTGGGTCGCATCACCGTGGTCCCCGTGATAACTAGTGGTTAGTCACCTATCTCCAGATTCTCGTTTAATCCAAGTATTTGGACTATCACAGTGTTTTTGGTCAGCTTTGGGCTTTCCCCCCAACCATCCTAAACTGAGTGGAAAATATCCCCCATTACATTCTCCCTTCCCCGTATAAAAAAAAATTTACTTTTTTTTTTTTTCATTATCGTTAATGGATAGGAGTATATATTATGTAATGTTTGGGTATTTTCACTGGTATCATAGGTAAAAAATTTATTCCACCCCTTTTGGGTAATTCATGTTTTTCCTTTGGAACTTTGTCAGTTGTCATGCCCAGTGAGTATTATGTGGCGTAATGGAATCAACACCCCAGGCAATACTCTTTCAATTGCGGAAGACCATAAAGGCTCTACGCGTTTCCCACCTCATCCCACAGTCTGTCAAACGACAGAAAATCACCCCAGGCACTACTCTTCCAAGTGCGGAAATCCATAACGGCTATGGAACAATAATGTAAACCCGTAAAGTCCCACCCTTGCCACTATACTCACCGAACATCCACTGATGTTATTTCCATTGGATATTCATTTATTTCCCCTTATAGGTGATATGGATTTTATCTCCCCTACCTATAGTGATTTCCCACCAGTCTATTACATTTCTAATAATTATCTCCCTTTACGTTTTCAAAAATATTACAATGTATCACTTAAATTTCCTGTATACATTTCAATTGTTTAGTGATATATATTCAAAACATTAAATAGCATATTTAATCGTCACAACTTTACATTAATAATTTCGAAATATTGTTTACATTTTTATATTTAATAAATATTCATATCTAATTCTAACTATTTCGTCACGTCACCTTATGTCTTATGTCCAGTATTTGTCACAATGACATGATATATATACAATTTATACAAAATATATATACATATATATAAAAATCATGTGTCGATCAACAATAACATTTCAGACAATCACAACATACATACTATAATAAGACCTACAATCTTGACATTACATCAGGCAGGTGATTATGGATGCCTTTGATGTGCTGTATTTTAAATTTAAACTGTGCAATCAATAAAGCCCATCTGTACACTCTAGCGTTGTTTGTTGACTCCATGGTCATCAATTTAGTAAGACCTAAATTGTCAGTTAAGATAGTGAATTCTTTCCCTAATAAATATTTTTGAAATTTCTTCAGACTCAGAACTAATGCTAATGCTTCTTTCTCAAATGTGCTGTACTTCTGCTGTGTAGATGTTAGTTTTTGTGACCAATATAAAACTGGAAGAAGAGTGTCTGTTTCTTTCTGTGCTAACATTGCAGCTATGGTGTGTCCACTAGCATCTGTCTGTAGAAAAAAATGTTTACTTGGATCTGGCTGTCTCAAGATTGGTGGTGTTGAAAACAAATGTTTAATTTTTTCTAAAATTGTGTCATGAGTTTCATTCCAATCTTTTTTCCTAAATTGTTCTGTTTTCAACAGTTCCGACAATGGTGCAGTTAAAGCTGCCAAATTACTAATAAACTTGCCATAATAGTTTATTAACCCCAACAATGATTGTAATTGTTTTCTAGTCTTAGGTTTTTCAATATTCAGAATTTTAGACACAATGTTATGATCAGTTAGGATTTTTCCTTCGCAAACAACATGACCTAAAAAGTTTATTTTCATAAAACAAAACTCAGATTTCAATGGGTTCACTGTCAGGTTTGCTTCCTGAATTTTTACAAACACTTTTTCCAATGTTACCAGATGTTCAGGTATATCTTTCGTGTGGATGCAGATGTCATCCATGTAGGCGATCACGTTTTCCATATCCGCCAAAAGTTTTCGAATCATTTTGGTGAAAAATTTTCGGGGCATTTAATAATCCAAAAGGAACTCTCAACCATTGTTTTAACCCCAAAGGTGTTTGGAAGCTGGAGTACTTACTGGCATTTGGAGTCATGGGGATTTGCCAATATCCCTTACACAAATCTAATTTTGTAAAAAATTTTGAATCATGTAACTGTTGAATGGTATCGTCAGTTGATGGTATAGGTTCTTCTTCAAGATAGGTAACCTCGTTCAACTTCCTTGCCTCTCGTTAATCTGTCCTCTTCTGCTTTTATTTATCTTGTCCTTCTCTTTCTCTTGTTCCGCTCTTATCTTCTCCTTCTCTATCTCCGCTGCTCTCTCTTCTGCCTTCATTTCTTTATACTTTTGGTCCACAAATTTCCTTAGCTCCTCGCCTTGTAAGCCTAACTCCTTCCCGATCGCAACCAGTTCTGCCATTCCCGACATTCTTGAACAGGATGATCAAGATTTCCTGCTACTCCTTCTTTTGATCTACAATTATACCTATCACACTCAACAATGATGACACAACAACAATTGAATTTAACCAAATTCAAATAAACAAATAATAAACTAAGTCGCTAACTACCGACTTAGGGATTAGCTAATCTTATTCTAATATTAATTGACAAAATCTAATTTTATTTATAACTAAGTAATTACCCTCCTATTTTAATCAACTTGCACTACCCTTGCCTAGATGTAGCTGTAACTGTAGATTGGAAACCGCTGTCACTATAAGATATATAAAGTAGGACTAATGTAATGATAACTAATCAATAAATCACCATAAAATTATTCAAGTAACTAATTCACAAATAATAAATAAATAATAATTAAATTTCCTACGTAAACTATATTTAATATAATAATAAAGTTATTAAATTTATAAATTTCTATTTAATTATTTCACCTTTAATTTAATTAAATAAACATTCAAAATATTTTTAATTAAGTAATTACCTATGAAATAATTAAATACTAGAACTAAATAATTCTAATTAAATAATCACCTATGAATTAATTAATTATCTATAAATTAAATAAATAAATATAGTAAATAATTTTAAGATCCTATCTACTACAGATTCTAACAAAATATATCTATGCTGCAAGTAAATGACACTGGTCGTATACAAACTTCTCAAAAATTATGATACCAATAATCATACACAATTTGTCAACAAATTTTAGAAATAAGTAATGATGATGATGATAAATCAAATGGAAATGGTATATTTGCCCCCCAAAATTTACAGAAGTAAATAAATAATGATTCAATGATTACCCAAAATCACAACCAGAAATAAATAAAAATTAAACAATTATATTGTTCACAATAATATACTCACAACCTAATAAATTTTGGTATAAAATATAAATAATTGATAAATCAAAATCAAAAAAAAAATAACTATGGTGTAAAATAATATAACCACCAAGTAATAGTTATTAATAGTATAATTATTAATAAATAAAATATCAGAAAAATCAATATTACAATAATAAATTATTGCAATATAATAAAATAAATTCAATAAAGTACGCCCATAATACCTATAAATTCAATTAATAAATAATTATAGTTCTATTGATGTCGGTTCTAAAGTAAATCCGAAACGGTGTATTGATAACGCCAAATTGTACGCACACTTGAAAATATGTCACTTGAAACACTATTAATATTGCGATAGTCTAAATACACTTGAAAAATCGTCACTTGACAAAAGCACTGTAAATATATCGGATTAAGTTACTTTTCCGGCACGGCACACGATAATAGTTATATTTCTTGCTGCTTATTATCACACACTACTACGAATTCCAACTTTATCTGATATGTCCTGAATATCTAACCTAAACACAGTTTTCCTGAATTTAATTAATGTTTACCTTATTCTGTCCGGCTGACAATCTCACACCTGTTCGCCTGTAGTTCCGCTTGAACACACTGACCCAAATTTGCTGTGTGACCTAGTTCGCCAGTTGTAGCAAATTAGGAAATTTCTGCTAGCTTTTGCTAGTGGACTGCTGGTTAACGGCAATTTCTCAGCGCTGTTGATAGATATTTCTCAATCCACGCTGTGATGAATGGCGACCCGGAAGTCTCAGTTGACTCGTTGATCGTGAAATATTTTGTTCGCCCTTTTATTTATTCGTGGTTTTTGGCTTTCTTGTGTATCGCGCTGTCATTGTTGACGCGTAGTGGACAACTTCTTCGTCGTAAATGTCATACAGCCATTTGATATGTTTCTCGTAGGCTTCTTGATGAATTTGCAGAACGACGCAAAGTGCCACGTAATCCAGGGCAGTCTACGTGTCCTTTAACCTTTCACCCACGTGACGACATTACCCAGCGTCAGGCGGTTACAGGTTAAATTTTTGTCGCAACTGTTCGGTGATTCCAGCAACTATGCGTTTCACCAGATATCGTCTCTTACATGCCGTCTATCACGATTTTTACGTTTCGACTTTCAATGGAACCTCATCTGCGTGTACGTGATAGTCTCCGGTATCACTTTTCGTTGCTCTGTTGACTAAATTATCAAAACTTTCGGCTTTCACTGTGCAACTGATGTTTTTACTCGGTGACTTCACGAGCTGTGCTCTCTCAGGCAGACTCCGTCACTTATATATCAGTCATTTGACTTCTAATGGCCCTTCAACGTCTGCGTGGCAAGTAACAGCTCATGATATCATCTCGCCGTTGCTGATCTGTTGCCCGGTTATCTCCGTTTTTCAAGTCCCCAATTGTAATGAATGGGTTTGTATTTCTACTCGTTGTCTAGGCGGTGTTCATGCGTGTGTGGTGGATGATATTCTGACACGCTTCACTTTACACACCTGGCACAAGCCGACACCGATGTGAGCTTACGAGACATTACTTTATTGACGTATTAAAACTTACGACAAAAGAGAATCGTCCAGTCGATGTCTAATTGAACCGCTTTCGTACACAAACTCACGCAGCCTTTAACGAATAGTCTTCTGCAGGCATTCAAGCAGCGATGGGTCCCATGGATTCAACACTGACGTTTGGACATCTCACACGCTGGCATGGTCGATCTCAGCTTAACATTTCGTCGGCAGGTCTCCTTTCTCCTCAGGCACTCACGTAGACATTCGTACATTCAATCGCTCGTCCTCTCGCTCCAACAGGTCGACACAAAACTAAACTTGACCAGAGTCAAGTCTGACTTATACCACGGGTTCCTTTCACGTGACAACACGTGGTGGTCCTTTACTTTTCCCGTGGCGACCTTGGGTCGCATCACCGTGGTCCCCGTGATAACTAGTGGTTAGTCACCTATCTCCAGATTCTCGTTTAATCCAAGTATTTGGACTATCACAGTGTTTTTGGTCAGCTTTGGGCTTTCCCCCCAACCATCCTAAACTGAGTGGAAAATATCCCCCATTACAAGTGTATTGCAGACAGAGAGTGTTTAGAGTATTGCAGACAGAGACAACAACACTGAGATCACGAGAGCTGCAGGAACTGTTCAGTCAGCAATTGTAACATTAGGAAAAGGACAAATCAAATGTGGGGATGAGTGAGTTTTGTTATTCACCTTCAGAATTCCATTGTTAGTTTTATTGTTCTCTGTATTATACCTGCTGTATATGCCTTGTGTACTGTGTTACTGACCACTGTTGTCTTCAGTTTTCATGTGTGAAACATGGCTGTAGCTGAAGTTGAAACAAAGTTTTGAGGGTTAAAGTCAGACTTCAGACTAAAGTCACTATTATGTCTATTTGCACAAAAAATGTGGAAACAGTTTACATAATAAATTCTGATTGAGTCAGTAAAACAACTAGTGAACCTATTGCACTTTGAACTTGTTTGGTCAAAGGTTGGTAATGTCTGCATTTGTGTGGTTGTTTATGGGACATTAAGACTGAGCTGGCTACACGAAAAGCAGCTGCTGAGAGACTCTTCCAGGCCATAAACTGAGGGTTTCTTAGCAAAGGAGAAATTGGCAAGACGACGAAAATGGCTGTTTACCGCTTTACCTATGTACCAGTCCTGACCTATGCGCGTGAGTCATGGGCAATGACAACAGCTCACAGAAGCCAGCTCCATGCCTTGGAAATGTGATATCTGAGAAATGTGGTCCAAGTGACAAAAAGGGGCAAACCCGAGTGGATCAGTCACAGTTATGATGGTTTGGACATGTATGCAGAATGGGAGAAAATCGGCCACCATGGCAGGCATGGGAGGCTAAGAACCAGGGAACCAGATCTCCAGGACGATCCAGGGTGCGCTGGGAAGACAACATCCGACAGTCCCTAACTGACAGAGGACTGAAATGGAACAAAGCCAGAAAGAAAACTGCTGATAGAGACGTCTGGCGATCTCTCTGGCAAACCTCTACACCCCAAGGTAGAAGAGGAGCGACTAACTAAGTAAGTAAGTAAGTTTATGTGACAGTGAATTATATGGACCCTGTACCGGTGTTGTGTGTACCGGTATTGTGTGTACAGGTGTTGTGTGTACTGATTTTGTATGTATTGTATGTGCAGGTAACTGTGTACTAGTGCACTGTGTACAGTGCCACTATACTAGTGAACTGTATTGGGGCACTGCAATATGTGTGTAATATGTATCCTGTAATGACTGACATTAGGATTCGAGGGCAGCTTTGAATACTCTATTTATGGCATGTGCATGAGGTGTTTTACGGTATGTTTCATATAGATGTGTACATGTGAATTGTTTGATGTGTACATGTGAATTGTTTGATGTTTACATGTGAATTGTTTGATGTGTACATGTGAATTGTTTGAAGAGTGCACGTGCGCAGACATGTTGACATGTTGCCTGTCTTTTGGACCCCTCCCGCAGAATGAGTACTACAACACAGGTACTGAGCTGCTGCCCGTTCGCTGGATGGCCCCTGAGACACTGGTCAAGTCTAACGGTGTCTGGACCACCCAGCCACACAACAAGATGTCTGACATGTGGTAAGCTTCAAGTGTTTGTGCTGAAATCCTGCATGTCTTCAACTCTGTCTTTCGCAAGAATGTGAAATTAAATGCTCTTATTATATTGTAGTAACTTGTTATATTGTCGCTGGCGGAAGATATCACTCCTGTGTGAGACTGATTTATTTTTAAAATAAGTGTGGGTTCTGGTCCCTATTATAGAGGGGGTGAGGGGGGGGGGGGGGGAAGAATAGCCCAACTGGCTACCCAAAGACATGTCATAAGAGTCGACTAACTGGGAGCTTCCTTCAAAGTCGTAATGCATCTGCCTGAGAGGCAAGAAACCAACAGTCTGCATACAAATAAGTCAAATCTGTAAAACTGATGTGCATGGAACAGTCAGGTTCTGTAACAGGACTGCAGTCCAGAAGTGGACAAACAACCAGAACTTTCCGCAAGATTTTCAGCTGATGAACACACAGAAGAAGATCACCCAGAAGAGTGGCAGCAGGTAATCTATCTGTCTGCTCATTACAGAGTGCACCCAAATGTTCTGACAAAAAGTCCATGATATGCTTCTTATCAGAGTCTTATCAAGCTATGCAAACCACTCTGAGTACAAACACCCGTTTCTGTTTTCCAAAACATGTTCTGCATGTCAGATTTAATTGCAGAATGCCAGATTGTACTGTTTGTTCTCCAGCCATCAGACAGCTGCCATTACTGCGTCCATCGCCGTTCTCGCTCTTGTGTTTGAATCATTAGGTATCAGGCACACTGTTGGTCTGTACTGTTTGTTCTCCAGCCATCAGCCATTACTGTGTCCACTGCAGTTCTCGCCTTTGTGGTTGAATCATTACGTATCAGGCACATTGTTGGTGTGTGGTAAACATGGCAGTAAGAAAATCTTAACCTTCATTCTTCAAGGTCATTTGGTATTCTTCTGTGGGAGATTTGTGCAGTGGGTGAGCGACCTTATGACATGTTGACCGATGAAGCCGTGCTGCAAGGAGTCGTCCAGGACAAGCTATTGCTGCCTTCAGACGTGGACATGAAGTTACCTTTCAAAGACAGGCTGTGAGTTGATGACATGAGCTGCATACAAATCATTTATTTTACTGTTATTATTTTGTTCTGATGCCATCTATCATCAGTGGAGCTTAGGCTTTCTCACCATTCTCAACTTTGCCATGTGTATCTATGGACTGTGTGTGTGTGCAAGTATGTCTGTGTATCTATAGACTGTGTGTGTGCAGGTATGTCTGTGTATCTATGGTGTGTGTGTGCAGGTATGTCTGTGTATCTATGGACTGTGTGTGTGCAGGTATGTCTGTGTATCTATGGACTGTGTGTGTGCAGGTATGTCTGTGTATCTATGGACTGTGTGTGTGCAGGTATGTCTGTGTATCTATGGACTTTGTGTGCAGGTATGTCTGTGTATCTATGGACAGTGTGTGTGCAGGTATGTCTGTTTATCTATGGACTGTGTGTGTGCAGGTATGTCTGTGTATCTATGGACTGTGTGTGTGCAGGTATGTCTGTTTATCTATGGACTGTGTGTGTGCAGGTATGTCTGTGTATCTATGGACTGTGTGTATGTGCAGGTATGTGTATCTATGAAATGTGTGTGTGCAGGTATGTCTGTGTATCTATGGGCTGTGTGTGTGTGCAGGTATGTATATCTATGGAATGTGTGTGTGCAGGTATGTCGGTTTATCTATGGAATGTGTGTGTGCAGGTATGTCTGTGTATCTATGGAATGTGTGTGCAGGTATGTCTGTGTAACTATGGACTGTGTGTGCAGGTATGTCTGTGTATCTATGGACTGTGTGTGTGCAGGTATGTCTGTGTATCTATGGACTGTGTGTGTGCAGGTATGTCTGTGTATGTTTGAATGTGTGTTGGTGTATGTATGGATGTATGTATAATATATGCCTGCCCGTCTGTCTGTACGTGGGTGTGTGGGCGGGCAGGCGGGCAGATATGTATGTCTGAGAGTTTTTCTGAGATGTATGGAATCCTGTCCAGCACTTTTGGCCTCTCTCAACAAGATCCGTCTGAGGGTTTCTCTGGGATGCTCTCATTTTCTCCATCAATATTTTCCCATTCCAGTATCTGTTTGGTGATTCTCTGTTGATCTTCTCACGAAGCCCAATATATTTCTTAGAACTGTTGGTACCAGTGGTTTTCCATATATTTATCTTACTTCTTCGCCTTTCAGAATTAATCTCATTTCCTGTTCAACTTATTCATCTCCGTTTTTATCACTTTTGCCTCGGCCTCGCAAATGCTAAAAAAAAAAGGATCATGAACCCGTAGTAATTTATGAAAAAATTGCTTTGGAAACTCCCATTTTACATAAATTATGTAAAAAATATATTTAAATACATATTTTGTTTCAAAATTATTTTAGTTGTGTAAAGGGATCATAATTAAATATAAATGGAGTGCAGCAATAAATGGAATAAATTCCTGGGACATACAATTTATTTAGTGATCCCATGATCTCTGGCATTACTGAGGTTTACAGGAAAATTTGATTTCAACATAGCTTTACAAAGCCATTGAGGTTTTTTTTTTTGGCTGTTGTGGTTTATGTCCAGTAGTTTGCCATTTCTTTCTGGGTGGTCGACTTCTCGATACCAATGTCGAAACCAACGCAAGGCCTGCAACTGGGATCAAACTCGGCATCCTGACATTATGAACGCTCACAACACCTAAGTCTCTTGGCGCCAACAAGGTCATAAGGAAACGCCCCCCCATCCCCCAAATGCTATTGATAATTAATATATTCATATCTAGCCTCATAATCACTGCCCAAGTGCACATAGAACAATTGCAATTTAACTACCTCTTTTCAGGAATATGCCACTGCAGAAATACTGACACATCAGCATGTACGGGGGGCTGTGTCACTGCAGAAATACTGACACATCAGCATGTACGGGGGGATGTGTCACTGTAGAAATACTGACATATCAGCATGTACATGGCTGTGTCACAACGGCAAGTAACTAGGCTTAGTCTTCTCGGGGTCAAAGTCTTCTCTGTGTTTTAGAGTTTCCCTGTGGATTCCAGTATGAGGACATTATAGTTCAATCATTATCAGGTTTTCTGAAGGTGTATTCACCAACAAGAATTCACAAACCACTGACTTATTTTTTGTGTATTTTGTTACTGTTACTTTTGGTTTTGAATGACAAATTACTTGAGGTCTGTACACTGTCAACATGTCAGACTGTTAACATGTGACCCTGTCACTGACTTCTCTGTTCTTCTCTGCAGGTGGTCAGTCATGACCCAGTGCTGGCGGGATGCCTCGCACAGGCTGGATGTGGTGCAAGCTTATGATAGTCTAAAGCAGCTTATCAGGGTGAGGGTGGACACTGTGGACGCCGTGTCCGACTTTGACCAGAAATGGAACCAGTTAAAACAGAACCAAGAGAGAGCACCTGGCAATGACACTGACCTAGGAAGTCGGATTGCCCTGGCTGGAAGTTTTGCCACCGATGATTCATCTTCTCCTCCAGACAAGCCTTCACTCCTAGACAGTGATGGTGGAGCGTATGAAAGTATCCAAAGTGATGACTTTATTATAGACGTAGGTGATGCTGATGAAATGCATGCTCCTGTGTATCAATCTCCAGCTACAGTTTTGGCCAACTCAGTTAAAGCTACTGAAATTCCTGTCCAGGCTATCATTCACCGCAGGATTTCAGATTCATCTGAGGACCAAATTTTTGTTGAGAACGAATTCACAAATACATCAGTGTTGCAAAGTCAAATGGCACCCATACAATCAGTTGATCAAACAGCAGGGACGTATGAAAGGCATATTTCCCCCATACTTCCGGATGCAAAGATGAAAGACATTAACATAGTAAAGAATGATTTATCCTTGGAGGTTAAAGAACATTTCTCAAATGTACTTACCAGTGAAGCACAGGAAGAGGACAATGCCAACGCCAGTTGCTCAAACTTTGAGTCACGTCTGCTGACTGATGATGAAGATTTTAGCGACTTTGTGCGCACATCACCTACAGCTCCCTCACTTGATTTCACAGACTTTGCGTCTGCTGATATCTCTGCTCATGATGTACACGTTGATAGAGACCAACAGTTTGAAAATGAGGCATCATCAGATGTGCCTGGCAGTGACATAGAAACACGCAAACATGCGGACATGCCAGTTGGAGCTGCAGCTAAAAACATCAGTCTTGATCATGACCTTGATGCATTTTCTGACTTTGTCACTTCAGACCCACCTCATAAGTTTGGCACTATGGAAATACTTACTGAGAACTTGGACACCGCTCCTTTCCAAGACAAAAATCCAGGGCTGACTGAGAAAAAAGACAATCCCTCCTTACTGGGTGATGACAAAGGCACCTCAGACAGTGACAGTGATACATTTTCCGATTTTGTTTCTTCAGTGCCAACACAAGAATCAGACCGCGCACATGATGCCAAGTTGACATCAACCAGCATGAGTAACTCTGGTAATCAAGATATTGCATCAGTAAGTGTACTATCAAGCCAAGACCGCAGCTTGGACATTTCTTTCCCAAAACCTGTCCCCGAGTCACAGACTCAAATGGAGAATCTGTCCACTGCACCACCTAATACAGATATAGACCTCCAGATGCAAGGATCTTTGAAAGACTTTGGGTATGACAGTGAGACCAGCTCTGCTGCTGTAGACTTTAATGTCAAAAAGACATCAGGGGAGAAAATAACAGCAGATCATAATCAAAATATCTTTTCTTCAGAGCTGTTTCCATCAGATCTGTCAAGTCTGTCGTCTGACATGTCCCTGTTAATTCATGATAGTCTAGCAACATCCATAGAACATGTGCCTGTATATTCAAAACAGCCGGAACATGATGCAGATATCGGCCAGCTCTCTGAGACCAGTGTCCAGCTCCCTGAGACAGATATCCAGTTCCCCGAGACAAATGTCCACCAGCTCCCTGAGACAAATGTCCAGTTCCCTGAGACAGATGTCCACCAGCTCTCTGAGACAGATGTCCAGTTCCCTGAGACAGATGTCCAGTTCCCTGAGACAGATGTCCAGTTCCCTGAGACAGATGTCCAGTTCCCTGAGACAGATGTCCAGTTCCCTGAGACAGATGTCCAGTTCCCTGAGACAGATGTCCAGTTCCCTGAGACAGATGTCCACCAGCTCCCTGAGACAAATGTCCAGTTCCCAAAGACAGATGTCCAGTTCCCTGAGATAGATGTCCAGTTCCCTGAGACAGATGTCCACCAGCTCCCTGAGACAAATGTCCAGTTCCCTGAGACAGATGTCCACCAGTTCCCTGAGACAAATGTCCAGTTCCCTGAGACAGATGTCCACCAGCTCCCTGAGACAGATGTCCACCAGCTCCCTGAGACAGATGTCCAGTTCCCTGAGACAGATGTCCAGTTCCCTGAGACAGATGTCCACCAGCTCCCTGAGACAAATGTCCAGTTCTCTGAGACAGATGTCCAGTTCCCTGAGACAGATGTCCACCAGTTCCCTGAGACAAATGTCCAGTTCTCTGAGACAGATGTCCACCAACTTCATGAGACAGATGTCCATCAGCTCCCTGAGACAGATGTCCACCAACTTCATGAGACAGATGTCCATCAGCTCCCTGAGACAGATGTCCAGATCCCTGAGACAAATGTCCAGATCCCTGAGACAGATGTCCAGTTCCCTGAGACAAATGTTCACCAGCTCCCTGATACAGATGTCCAGTTCCCTGAGACAAATGTCCAGATCCCTGAGACAAATGTTCAGATTCCTGAGACAGATGTCCAATTCCCTGAGACTGATGTTCAGTTCCTTGAGACAGATATCCACTTCTCTGAGACTGATGTCCAGTTCCCCGAAGCAAATGTCCAGATCCCTAAGACTGATGTTCATTTCTTTGAGACAGATGCCCACCAGCTCCCTGAGACAAATGTCCAGTTCTCTGAGACAGATGTCCATAAGCTCCCTGAGACAAATGTCCAGTTCTCTGAGACAGATGTTCATAAGCTTCCTGAGACAGATGTCCAGTTCCCTAAGACAAATGTCCAGTTCTTTGAGACAGAGGTTCATAAGCTCCCTGAGACCAGTGTCAACTTTTCTGAGATAGATGTTCACCAGCTCCCTGAGACAGATGTCCATTTCTCTGAGACAGATGTCCATTTCTCTGAGACAGGCTCCCACAATCTTCCGGAAAGAACCAATGTTGAACAGCCACTTTATTCTCCTGAAAGAGGTGACGACACAGATGCTCTTGAACAGGGGAAGCCACTTTTGCCACTTGCTACAGTAGAAACCAACAATTCATTGGAATCATTTGATTTCTTCACTGAGTTCACATCAGTAGCAAATATGTCCACAGACTCAGCTGATGTTGGTGGAGAGAAAGATGGCCAAACCAAACAGGTACATTTAGAGTTAATGTTTGTCATCTGAAATATGTCCTCCACAAGTTGTTGTATTTGTAACATGGACGTTCTGAACACAATATCATATATAGACAATTCTTGTAAACGGACACAGAAATAACACAATATATAAATATTTCTAAGAAACTGACACAGAAATAATGCAATATATAAATAACGTTTAAGTATTGACATGGAAATAACTTTTTAAATATTGACATGTAAATAACACAAAAAATAAAACAACTTTTGAATACTGATGTAAAAATAACACAATAAATAAATAACTTTTGAATACTGACATGGAACAAATATGGACAATATATAAACTATTCTTGGAAACTGACATGAAAATAGCATAATATATCAATCATTCTTGAACACTGACATTTAAATAACACAATTCATAAACAATTCCTAAACACTGACATGGAAATACTTTACTTTGTACATGATCAGCTCACCAGACAAACAGTACACTTGTGCCTTACAATACAGCTTTATTTGGTACAAGAAGTGCAGTAGTCAGACGTTAACTGCAATGATTTGTCAGTCATGGGGTGCAGGTTCAATTCTCAATATTACCATGATTTCTTACCACCCAACTTGTGCACATCTGAGGGTTACCCAGTTTCCAACATGATCACCAGAGATTTATCTGGGAAAGATCAATTTTGTCTTCAGAGACAATGCCTGCTATTATTTGCCTTTACAATGTTTGTTGTAAAACTCTTGTATATAAATTTATGTGAGTTCTCACGCGTGAAAATAAGATCTCTTTTATTCCTGTAGGAATCTGGCAATCTTGATGTGCAGCCAGGCATGTCTTTTGATTTGCTGGACAGCCAGCTAGGCCAGGGGTCAGGGAGCTCTTCCATCATGTCTGTAGTGGAGATCCTAGGAAAAGAAACCAGTCCTGGAGCTACACAAGTGGAAGCACTGGATGCTCAGTTTGGCTTTGACCTGATGCCTCCAGCTGTGGGGCCACAGGCACAACAAGATGACCTGATAACAGACTTGCACAAATCAAATGGAGATGTAAATGCAACACCTGCTGAACAAGTAGAACAACCGCTTATCAATTTTTGAAATAATGATGGCAACATATTGCTAATTTCTGCATTTGTTTGTCAAGTTTTATCTTTAAATGAATTTATTATCATCTCTCAAGTTGAAGAGAGTTTTTAATGTTTCAACAATTTTAAATCATCTATTTTCACCATTCTGTTTTTAACTTAAGAGTTTTCGTTGCCAGAACAAGCATAACTGCTCAACTGTTAACCACAACTGATTCCACGTGAAAATTTATGAATAGGCAGCAGCTTTACTTACCTCCCTCAAATAATGCATCATGGAATTGTTCTTCAACATTTTATTCATAGAAACTGATTTTATGTAGAGAGATATCAGGTGTCTGTCTATCAGAAATGTTACAGAACAGTATAGTTGTGTGTGTGTGTGTGCATAGGTGAATGTCTGTGTGTGTGTGTGCATGTATATATGTATTTTGGTTTTCAGTGGTTGTGTTGATGTTTCATTGGTTTCTACTAACTGCTGTTAAGCATTTAATTTGCCTGTTTTACTAATGAAGACATTCCTGTTTGGCAACATAATATTTTGGTTGTTTCTTTTGATACGGTTTTACGTGCATTTGTTACTGAGATACAGGACAGACAATTCAGACACTTGGGTCAAATAAAAAACTTGGCTCCATGTTATGAGGTGTGCTGGAGGCGAAGCCTGCAGAAGGAAAACATTGGTAGGTAGGTAAACAACATCCAGAGATGGCCTAGATGAAGCTGATATGAATACACCAAAGGCCATGACAGGCCTTGTTGGAGATTCATTACAGGTGACCTTCAGTGAGGAGATGACACATGACTGAATGAGAACTGGTAGAACTGTCAGACTCTTGCTTCCTTCCACCACAGTTGACCTTCCACCACAGTTGACCTTTCACCACAGTTGACCTACAAACACCCAGTGATGCATTTGCAGACCTGTGCATGTGAGCATATCCATTTTTGTTCTATGTATGGTCCAATGGGCTTGGATGTTCAAACTTGAGGATATTTAGGAACTGATAAACAGTGTGTACTTGTCATAGTCTTGTAGATATGGGTCCACAATGGTGTGCACTCACATTTGGCCTACAACAGTGTGCACTTGTAGATGCAAGCCTACACTTGATCATGTCTTGTAGATGCAGACCTACAACAGTCTACACTTGACCATGTCTTGTAGATGCAGGCCTACAACAGTCTACACTTGACCATGTCTTGTAGATGCAGGCCTACAACAGTCTACACTTGACCATGTCTTGTAGATGCAGACCTACAACAGTCTACACTTGACCATGTCTTGTAGATGTAGACCTACAACAGTCTACACTTGACCATGTCTTGTAGATGCAGGCCTACAACAGTCTACACTTGACCATGTCTTGTAGATGCAGGCCTACAACAGTCTACACTTGACCATGTCTTGTAGATGCAGGCCTACAACAGTCTACACTTGCAGCAGTGTTGCAAGCTTCAATTAGTTAAACTTATTTAAGAATTTCAAATGTTTAATATAGTTCTTTTGTTTGTGAAATGTATTTCCATTATAATCATCAGACTTTGGTGGAATAACTACAGAATGACGAAAAACTGGTGTTCGGATTTTGTTCAACAGAGACCCATGCATCACTGAATTCTGCTATTCTACAATACATGACTATAATACTGACCACAATACATGACTATAATACTGACCACAATACATGACTATAATATTGACCACAAAAGGCAGTTACGCAATATCAGGCTATTTCATGTAAGCCTTCCACATCTGCCGATGTCTGTGCTTTAGACGTTGCAAACGCCAGTGTGCTGGGTTCGATCCCAGCTGCGGACGGTTTGTCTTGCGTTGGTTTCGACGGTGGTGCAGTGGCAAACTATTGAACATAATATTTGCCTAGGAAAAAAACCACAACACTTTACTAGTGTAAACGATACGCTAGTAACTTCCACTTCTCTCTCCTGTATGTACTTGTGTAATGTTGACAACACACATATTTACCAGCCAAAAACCTACTCTCCTGTATGTACTTGTGTAATGTTGACAACACACATATTTACCAGCCATAAACCTACTCTCTCCTGTATGTACTTGTGTAATGTTGACAACACACATATTTACCAGCCATAAACCTACTCTCTCCTGTATGTACTTGTGTAATGTTGACAACACACATATTTACCAGCCAAAAACCTACTCTCTCCTGTATGTACTTGTGTAATGTTGACAACACACATATTTACCAGCCAAAAACCTACTCTCTCCTGTATGGACTTGTGTAATGTTGACAACACACATATTTACCAGCCAAAAACCTACTCTCTCCTGTATGTACTTGTGTAATGTTGACAACACACATATTTACCAGCCAAAAACCTACTCTCTCCTGTGTGTACTTGTGTAATGTTGACAACACACATATTTACCAGCCAAAAACCTACTCTCTCCTGTATGGACTTGTGTAATGTTGACAACACACATATTTACCAGCCAAAAACCTACTCTCTCCTGTGTGTACTTGTGTAATGTTGACAACACACATATTTACCAGCCAAAAACCTACTCTCTCCTGTGTGTACTTGTGTAATGTTGACAACACACATATTTACCAGCCAAAAACCTACTCTCTCCTGTATGTACTTGTGTAATGTTGACAACACACATATTTACCAGCCAAAAACCTACTTTCTCCTGTATGTACTTGGGTCATATTAATAACCTTATGTCATTTCAATAACCTATCAAATGTAAATGCTGCCAGTGTGGTCCTCAGTTTCCACATTTCACCGACATGGAGTTAAGTTTTTATTTATTGATTTGTCAACAGTAAAAGAAACAATTTCTTTATTACAAACACTTCTTAAAACAGGTTTCATGTTGTCATTTATGTGTTGATCTTATACAGGTATCAGTCATAGAACTTTGTAACAATTGTTGTTAGTTCTGGTCAGGTGTTGCACCTGTACACAAAGCTTGTTATTGTACAAGTACGATCAAACGTACATGAATTATATGGCCATGTAATCCTATGACTGTTTATTTATTTAGCTTTGAGCCGCCAGTTAAATTCTTTGCCAGTTTGTGTACATAATCAGTATACTTATAGAAACACTCTGCAACCAGAACTACTTAAATACCATGAGCTTTGTAAATGTCATCTCTACATCCAGTTATCTCTTTCATTGTTATCCGAACGACATTTGTTTTGCATAAAAATTAATGAGCCAATAAACTCATTGTCTTTAACAACACAGAGTTTAACCAGAACAACACAGGACATAGCCAGGTTTCTGACAGTTTCACTTTCTCTAAAATTTTCATCAAAATATTTGCTGTGCTTTCAGATTATGCATTTTATTTTTGAACTGGCAGTGATGTACTTAATGGCACATGTGGCCATGTTGAATTTACTGTACATACTTTCATTTCTTATTCAGTGGTCACAAGTTTCTAGATCCTGTCGCTTGTTATCTTCTTGTGATTCCCTAAAATACTGCTGCTGTATCGTTTATTTAATCCTCTTTAATTATCATTTTAACCACAAATGTTTCATGTGATTTCTGTTGTGTTTTTAATCTCTTGAACGGCCAAATCCCTGAGAAAATGTGATATCTCCTGTCAGTTTATCATCTTCATGGTTTTATATCACAGCAGGTGAAAGTTCAGCTACCCTGAGAAAGACTATAGCTCTGAGAACATGTTTGTTGAACTGTTGTAGTATCATCTGATAAAATAATATATGTATATCTTTAACAGTGCTGTGTTGTATACGGTTGATAAAACTGCAAACTTTTACTGAGGCAAACATACCGCTTGTGAATGCTGCCAGGTATTTTGGTCATTTTGTTGTTCATGACTAAACAATAGCATCAGCAGCATTGATGCCAGGTGTCGCACATTTTTCTGTGATACATGTCAGTGACAGTGACACTGTCTTGTCAGTGTTACTGGAAGTCTTTGAACAAACAAACAAGAAACTTTAAAAAAGTCAGAAAATCCCTGTACATATAGTCATCGGATGTTCAAAGATGTTGATTTATGTTCTCGACTGTTTGCCAGATGTAGCAAGGTCAAGGGCTTTCTACACTTATATGCATCATCTTTTTTACCTTTTTGGTTTTAATTGACTGACAAAACAATTTTTTTTAAATTACTGAATTTTATCAGACATGAACTCTATATTAAGCTTGAGAATTCTGTGCAATTATTTGTTTCACTTTTCTTTCCATGGATGAATTTGTACAGTTTCTTAGTCTGTACTTTCCCACAATCCATCAGACAAGAAGGCGAGGCAGTTAAGTCCGGTTATGGGTGGTTAGGTTAGTCTGTGAGCCTGTCTGTTGGTAATTAGTCTGTCAGACAAGTAGGCGGTTAGGTCTGTTAAAAGTGGTTAGGCTAGTCTGTGAGTCGGTCTGTTGGTAATTAGTCTGTCAGACAAGTAGACAGTTAGGTCAGGTTATGGGTGGTTAGGTTTGTCTGTGAGCCGGTCTGTTGGTAATTAGTCTGTCAGACAAGTAGGCTGTTAGGTTATGGATGGTTAGATTAGTCTATCAGACAAGTAGGCGGTTAGGTCAGGTTATGGTTGGTTAGGTTAGTCTGTGAGCCGGTCTGTTGGTAATTAGTCTGTCAGGCAAGTAGGTGGTTAGGTCAGGTTATGGGTGGTTAGGTTAGTCTGTGAGCTGGTCTGTTGTTAATTAGTCTGTCAGGCAAGTAGGCGGTTAGGCCAGGTTATGGGTGGTTAGGTTAGTCTGTCAGACAAGGGCATTAAGTGTGTGTTTTGTCAAGAAAAGGCTGGCAACAAATGTCTCATGATTTCCTACTGCAGGAAACTAGTACACTGTAGTAAAACAGGTCAGTACAATCAGTTACGAGCAGTAGTCGGGTTAGTTAGCCCATTACATCATGTTGAATGGCACTCGTCTGAAGCAAGCTTAAAAATAATTTAAATATCTAGGAAGTATATTTTTGGAGGACAGGGAAACAGAAACAAGATGCCAAATAGCCAGTGCACTAACCTATCCACTGAC